CCCTTTCTTTCTTTCTTCAAAAACATCATATATAGCACACAGCGTTTTTTCTAGCCAAAAGATATAAAAAAGGAAATCAAGCTTAATCAAGACTGCATAAAATCACCAGATGACTGCTAGCAGACAAAAAGTAAAGAGGCCATTCTTGTAAGGGAGGAATAAGTAGAGAGAAATTCTCCTCTGAAGTAGCTAGAAGGTATTCTTGGTGCTTATTTGATGTACTACTTACCAATTCTTTGATTTTCTTCATTTTCACAGGATTATTCAATACTTCTCTTTTTTTCTCTTCCTCCTTCTTCCTGAAGAGAGAAAATAAGAAAATCATGACTATTTCTTCCTCTCCACAATTCTATACAGCAGTCCTGATTCCCAGTGCATACAGACAAGTCCTGCAATGAAAGTCTGCTTGATGCTGGGGGAGTCAGCAATCTTTCCCAAATCTGTGTAAGAGACTGAATTTGGGGGGTGGGAGGAGGCCACACCAGTTCCCTGCTGTGCTAGAAACAGAGTTTGGCCTGTTTCTGGATAGGCCTCATGCTCAGGGCTTCCCAATGGGTCAGGTAAATGGGTGCCATCCTGTACATTGATTACTTGGTTGGAAAGCAATCTTGTTTTTTTTCAAATTCTACCTATCCTGTTTCATATGATAACCAGCTGGTCAATACAGAGAGAGGACTCCTCTTTCAGGAAATCTTTCTCTCATATACTGCTCATAACAAACTGGTCAACCTTCAAATTGGAGAAAAATTTGGCAACACTATCAGCCTCCACTTACTCTTTGATCCCCTAAATTCTACTTCCAGAATTTGTTACTGTTAGGAAATAATCAAGGAAGGTCACTGCCTAGTTGTTTATATTATAACACTGTAAATTTGGAAACAAGTTAGTGATCCAACAACAGAGTATTGATAAAATAAATCATGGTATATCCATATGGTATGGACATTAAAAATGATGTCATAAAAGTATATTTAGTGACACAGAAAGATGTTCAAAATGTATGATTAGGTAGAAACAAGGAAATTCTAAAATAATATACACAGTATAATCCCACTTAACACCTCAGAAGCAGCTGTACTTCAATCTGTTATATATTAGGATTTCAAGTAAGATTCTAAAGTTTCTTTTTAAAGGATTCTGCTGTCAGAAAAAAGCAGGGGGAGGCCTGTTTATCTATGTAACCAGCTCTATATATAACTTCAAATCTCCAAGAAGCTGCCAGCCTTTTCTCCCTTGCTTCTACCCCTATTTTTGTTTAAGGGCTAATGGCAAAGAACAAATCTGGACCAAGTCAGTACCTTTGCCAGTATCTTTCCATATGGCCTTTCTGTATGATCCATACAGATCAGGCACCTTTAATGGAGCTCTTGCCCAACATCAGAAGTCCAAATGGAAACAATCCTTTTAAAGTAGCAGATAAAAGCCCAGGGGAAACCAACTCTAAGGCAGGGAGTGAGTGGCCCTAGCAGCCTCAAAGCATCTCTGACCAAACTCCCTTCCCTACTCCTCATCAGCACCTGATGATGAAGAGTGGGTCTTCCCGGATTTTGCTGGCCATGTCAAGAAGGGAATTGGCACCCGATGGAGCAAAGATAGAACCTGGAAGAAGTCCAGTCTCAGAAGAACAGCCTGTCTCCTTCTCCTCCATCTTCTCAAAAACATATTTGTCAATGGGGCGCCCCAGCAAGTATTCATCACGGTTCACCATTCCACCAGGGCCCTGGTACATCCAGTCCAGCTTTTCTTCTTTTTTCCTGGTTCAAGAAAAAAAAAAATGATAATAGAAAGAAAATAGACTCCTGTAAACCTACACACAAAACTGGAATGTCAAGGTAGATAAATACAGCTGGTCAGACCAGGCTTACTGGTCTGATAGAGCCTTGGTGAGACCCCTGAGGCTATGGCCCCTAGTTACCCTTCAGGTCTGGAATTGAACTCATTCTTGTGGCTTTTAGCCAAACAACAGATAGGCATAGCGTGAACATTTACATCAGGTAGATAATATTCCTTAGAACTGTCAATCATGGGAGAGCAGAAGGGCAGTATTTGCACAGGGAAACAGCTCAAGAAGCAGGAATGGATAGGAAAGAAGGACACGAGGAAGAGGTTACTATAGAGAGGAAGTGGGAAGAGAGCTGTTACACTGTAGGGATTACAGTCAATGTCATGAAACAAAATGTGTATCAAGTGCCATATGTTATTGTTGTTATTAGGTGCCATTGAGTCAGCTCCAACTCATAGGGAGCCTATGTACAACAGAGAGAAACACTACCCAGTCCTACACCAGCTTCACAATCCTTGCTATGCCTGAGCCCATCATTGTAGCCACTGTGTCAGTCCATCTCATTGAGGGCCTTCCCCTTTTTTGTTGACCCTCCACTTTACCAAGCATGATATCCTTCTCCAGGGAATGGTCCTTTCTGACAACATGACCAAAATAGGTGAGACTCTGTACAGTGCTGTATAGTAAATGAACTTGCTCTGTAAACTTTCACTCAAATCACAATAAAAATAAATTAAGAAAAAAAAACAAACGCTGCTTGTCAGAGCAGGACTCATTTTCCTGCACTTTCCAAGGGTGAAGCACAGACCCCACATGGCATGCAAGCTTGCCTGGATGGAGCATATGATTTAATAAGATAAGACAGGATTCTCGTACACACAAATCCACTTATGAGGAAAATCATTGTTCTTCAATCTAGAGCAAGGATCCTCCTTGCTCAGGGATTCTTGAGTCTCTTTCAGAAAGTCTTTATGTTATGCTTTCATTTCAAAGGTAATCTAAAACAAGATGCATATTCTAGATCATCCTATTACCAAGAACAATCTCAGTGACCACACGTGCAGTTCCATTTATTATGTGTTTTGCTGCTTATTGTCACTTGGCACCAAAGATATTTAGGGGGCAATAAGAAGAGACCAGAGATAACCTAGTAAGTAAATGATGTTTTTGAGGGGAAAAAAAAAAAGGGTGGGTGAATCAAAGTATGTCATAACATAATTTGTTGAACAAATATATCCCAGAGGTTCTGAGTGAAAAAAAAGGCTCTAAAAAAATTGAATCCTCTCACACAACAGACAGTGAAGGCATGATGATTTCATGTGATGAAGAAGCCTGTATCATGTTTATATTCATGATGGAAGCAGTAGTGTCATTTTTATCAAAACAATATCAGCCATAACACTGAATTAAATGGGTTTTTTTTTTCATTACTTTTTAATTTGTTTATTTTTTTTGTTTTAAGGTTATATAAAAACTACAGGATAAAGGATTTCTTCTTACTTATGTGTTTAGACATTTTCAATAAAAATAATTTAAACTAACACTGGAGGGTTACAACCTTTTTTTTCCTATTAAAATAATCAATTTGATTAACACTACAGTCTATAAAAACAAACAGAAAAAAAAAGATTTAAATAAAATGAAAACAAATTAAAAAAAACTAAAACATGTCTATGACTAACAATTGATTGTGAAGGACAGTCTGTATCGGATCTTACAAGGTCTGAGCAGGAAGATCAATGGTGACTAGAATACTCAGGGAAGCTCATTTACCTGAGAGGCAGGATAGCATGATGGTTAAGAGCACAAGCCTGAAAGTCAGGTAACATTTGAGTACCAGCTCAAGGGAAGTTAAAGCCAAGTAACCTTTCTGAGCTATGGTGTTCTCACCTGAAAATAGAAATAAAATAGTACCTACCTCACAGGGTTGTTGAAGGATTAAATAAATTATTGAATTTTTTTTTTTTTTAACTGAGGTGAAATTCACATAGCATACAATTTAAGCCCATGAATTTTTAAAGTATTCAGAAGAGTACATGGCACAAAATACTAAATAAGTGTTCAAAAACCAAACTCACTTCCATCGAATCAATTCGACTCATAGCGACACCTCCTTGGGTTTCCAAGGTGGTATCTCTACAAAAATAGATTGCCCAATCTTCCTTCCAAGAACTGGCTGGTGGGTTTGAACCACCAGCCTTCTGGTTAGCAACCAAATGCCTTAGGTACTATACCACCAGAGCTCCTAAATAAATGTTAGCTGTTCCTTTTATTATTTATGTATATGTTTGCCTCTCCCAGCAAGTTTTAAACTCCTACTTGTCCAAGACCACAGTTTACTCACCTGTGAATCCCGGAAAGTTGCCTAATGATCATACGGTCAATGTTTGACACTCCATGGGCAATAGATATGGAACTGGACAATTTTTCAAAGAACAGCAGGTCTCGGCTACTGCCATAATTATTCAATCTGTATGCTAAAACAATAATCCAAGAAGCTGGACTGTATGAAGAAAAATGCAGCATCAGGATTGGAGGAAGAACCATTAACAACCTGTGATATGTAGATGAAAGTAAGGATGACTTGAAGAACTTACTGATGAAGATCAAAAACTGCAGTCTTCGGTATGGATTACACCTCAACATACAGAAAACACAAATCCTCACAACTGGACGAATAAGCAACAACATAATAAAACAGAGATAAGACTGAAGGTGTCAGGAATTTCATATTACTTGGATCCCCAGTCAGCACCCATGGACACAGCAGTCAAGAAATCAGATGTCATATTGCAGTGGGAAAATCTGCTGCAAAAGACCTCTTTAAAGTGTTAAGAAACAAATATGTCACTTTGAAAACGAAGGTGTGTCTGTTCAAGGCACTATATCTTCAGTTGCCTCATATGCATGTGAAAGCTGGACAATGAATAAGGAAAACCATCAAAGAGCTGATGCCTTTGAACTGTGGTGTTATCAAAGAATACTGAAAATGCCCTGGACTGCCAGAAAAACAAATAGATCTGTCCCAGAAGAAGTGCAGCTGAATGCTCCTTAGAAGCAAGAATGGCCAGACTTCATCTCAACTACTTTGGTCATGTTGTGCAAAGGGACCAGATGACTCTAGGGTTCATGCCTGACACTAACAGAGATAGGAGGTTTGGAAATGAATATCTTATCTGCCTATTCACCTGCACACATTTACTCAAGTGTGAGTAAGGCCAAAAGGATGAAAAAGACAGGTAGCTGAGTTGTTTACAGGAAGTGAGATGACTCTGGGACACCCAAAATAGAAAAGCCTGAAGTCTGTGTGGGACAAATTTGGGAGTCATCACCATGAAGAAAATAACGGTAGTAGGAAAAGGAAGGAGTTCTTCAAGAGAGAGAATAAAGGGGGAAGAGTGAGCCTTGGAGAGATTCACAGTTAAGGAATGAGAAGATGGAAGCTAAGTCAATGAAGACAAGAGAAACGGTGGTGTGAAAAGACAGAAGGACCAGGAACCTGTAGGCAAGGGAGGAAGAAGTTTCAAGGAGAAAGCAACTGGGTCAAATACAGAAGGAAGCAAATGAAAAATGAAGACAAACACCTCTCTAAAGCAGTATCTGTGTGGCTCTGTCTAGTCTTAAAATATCATAAATCAAACTTTTGGAGTCAATTCCAAATCATAGTAAGCCCATGTGTATCAGAATAGAACTGCACCCGATAGGTGCAGTTTCAATGGCTGTAATCACAGAACGTCCCGGGGTAGCACAAATGGTTTGCTCTCAACTCATAAACTAAAGGTCGGTAGGGGAAACCCACCCAGCGCACCATGGAAAAGACCTTGTGACCTGCTTCCATAAAGATCACAGCCACGAAAACCCTATGGAGATGGTATGGATTGAATCGTGTCCCCAAAAAGTATGCGTTGTGAATCCTAACCCCTATACCTGTGGTAAGAGCTCTGGTAGCACAGTGCCTAAGGCACTTGACTGCTAACCAGAAGGCTGGCGGTTCAAACCCACCAGCTACTCCTCAGAAGGGAGGTTGAACAATCTACTTCCATAGTGATACTGCCTTGGAAACCGAAGGAGGGGTCTCCATGAGTCAGGTATGACATAACAACAACAACAACATACCTATGGTTATAATTCCATCTGGAAATGGGTCTTATTTGTTATGTTAATGAGGCTGTATTACCAGAGTGTCCCTTAAGTCAATCTCTTTTGAGATATAAAAGAGAAGACTGAACGAACGGCAGAGATGGTAAGGTAAGACAGATGCCTTGTCACATGAAGATCACCAGGGAACACAAGAATAAAAGCTGAAAAGAAACAAGGACCTTCCCCTAGAAAGGACAGAAAGAGCCTTTTCCCAAAACCGGCACCCTGAATTTGGACTTCTAGCTTCCTAAACTGTGAAAAAATAAGTTTCTTAAGGATTGCCATGGGTCAGAATCAACTGGACAGCACAAGACAACAAATCTTATGAAAGTAGACTGTCAGGACTTTCTTCTGCAGTGCCAAACTGCCAATCTTTCAATTAGTAGCCAAGCACAAACCATCTGTCCCACCCAGGGAATACAATCTTAAAGGATCCGATTAATATCTGTTCCCTCAGACCCTTTACTAAGAGAACCCATTATACAGCTGAAATCCAGGGCCACCAGGCTTGGCTTCTGGTTCTACCACTAACCAGCTGAGTAACTCCAGGTAAGTTATTTCTGTGCACTTTGACATCCTCATCTCTATAATACAGTTGTAGGAGCTCTGGTGGCACAGAGGTTAAGGCATTTGGCTGCTAAACATAAGGTCAGTGATTTGAACCCAGCAGCTGTTCCATGGGAGAAAAATGAGGCAGGCTACTTCCATAAAGATTTACAGCATTGGAAACCCTATAGGACAGGTCTACTCTGTCCTATAGGGTCACCATGAGTTGGAATTGACTCAATGACAGTGGGTTTTATTATTATTATTTTATTTTTAGGATGGCAA